TGAACCAATGTACCAGCAATGATATAAATTTTCTCATTATATCAGATTCTTTGAGTGCCTTAAATGATGTCAAGCAGATGTACCCCACTCATGCCAATTTAGCACTAATAAAAGACATGCTATACATTGCCCACGTGGTAAAAACATTACATTTTTATGGGTACCATCCCATGTTAGAATAAAGGGTAATAAAGCAGCTGATAAAGCAGCAACAGAAACTATTAATGACATGACAATTTCCATTATGCAAAACATACCAATCGCAGACCAAAAAACATTAATAAAAACTTATATGTATTAACAAAACCTGGCAAGTAAAATGGAACCAAACAGAAGCAAAATTAAAATTTATCAAACCAGATGTTACTTCTGCTTTATTACCGCTCTCAGCTCAAAGACATAACCAAGTAATTATTAACAGACTGCGGCTAAGCCATACAAAATTTACACATGGGTACATCATCTCCAAGGACCCTCAGCCGATTTGCCACACCTATCAAACACCAATTTCAGTGCAACATATAATGATAGACTGTCCAGTGTACTTAACAGCAAGATCGACAGCAAAAATAAAACACAACTTAAAAGAAATTCTAAAAGAAGATATCAGTAATACAATAAAATTTATCAAAAATTGTCAACTGTACAACAAACTGTAACATAACATAATTTTGTATTTTTCAAAACTATTATGTAAATGGTTTTAGATTTTAGTTTGGGAGCAAATGTCATAAGGACGCGTATCCGCGCCATTAGCACCACACTTTAAATTTTCACACCAAATGCTAACGGGAGCGGATCAGTGTCTTATTTTTGAAATGAAAAGCTATAATAAAATTATGTTTTATTTGAAAAGTAACAAAACATACACTAAAAATAATATAATAAGAGCAACTTAAACGTTATAGGTAACAAATGGTACAAAAAATACACCAACTAGAGTAATTTTCGGTCTTCATGGTATGTTACGAAGAATGCGCCTATGCAAAGACCAGGTTTATCAGAACAAATAAGACATTAGTGCTAATAAACACTTTTGTTTAACAGGAACTCAACTACATCTCTTGTTTAAAACATTTTTTTCTACCGTGTACAAATTCTTGGTAAATCGATGTTTTTCGTTTCCCCGATACTACGCGGGGTTTTAGGGGGAAGCCCGGGGATATACTGTATTATTGTAATTCGGAACACTCTGCGTATATCTATATAATTGAATTACTACTGTAATACTACTAATTAAATGATTTTTAAATCATTCAACTTTTCGATAGGTTTCATTTTCTGGGGTGACACATCTTGTCTACAAACAGTCTAATATTTCTACGAAAGCATTATATTTATTTGCCAAATACAAATATAGCGAAACAAATATTGTTTGATCATTAGTTTCATTTAGCTTATTCACACAACAAATTTTTGTTTTTTTTTTAACTTTATCTAAACATACCAGAGCAAACATTTTCATTTAAACAGTAATTATTATTTTGAGCGAAATAATAAATATTCGTATTTATCGCACGTTCTAAAAATACGCCTACAAATGAATTAATTAATTACACTTAAACCCAAATAATTTGTATAAAAGTATTCCAAATATTTTGATACAAATGTGCTTTTTTAATTTAATATGTGGCAGCTATAAAGGGCCATCAACAGCCTTTTATACGCAGCTTTAAATTGTTTTGCCGTTGGGTTGTTGTAATTTCCATGACTCCTAATACAACTAAAGAAAACTTCTGATCCTGAGACAGTTTATAGGCTGAAAGATACTTCAGACCTCCATCCACTTCCTCCGCATAATTTTTCCAAATTCCCATAAGTGACTTTAAACTAATAATCATACCAATAATACCCGTTTTACAGTGGTTCACCATTATTGAAACACTTAAGTGATGTGAGGTATTTTATAGATCCTTCTTAATGTTTTAAATTTAATGTTTTGCTTTGAAAATGGTTTATTTAACGAGATGAAGTTTATTAACAATATCCAAAGAATATTCTGACATCGACGCTTAGGATCTGAATTCTATTTCAAATTTTATATGATAAGTTTTAGTATAATAAAACTGATTGTAACTTTGCTCCAGATTGTTGAAATCTACTGGTTTGTTGACATATAAAGATATTGTTTTCCTGGTAAACTGATAAACTGTAAAATTGATAACTATTAAAAATAATATGAAACTAATGATAAAACAAAATTTTCCAAAATTGGCAAACATTTTTGCGAATATTTACCTAGTAATAGTTGAAGTATTAGACATCACTAAGCATGTATCATACACATAGGTTGTTTTTTGATGTGGCAGCAGAAACAGCAATTAAAAGAAAATTAGTTTCTATTTGTATAAGAAAATGCCTGTAACAGCATTTAAGTAGTACAAAAAGGCATTTTTATATAGAATTCTAAGAAACTAAAACGGTATGCATGGCTTTTCTTCAGCACAGAACATCAGCAGAATTCCAAATGTATCGCTTATACTAAATTCATTTTACGTTATTTATACTTATTTAAAAAATTTCTTTTAGTTTGTAGTCACTTATAGCTCAACATTTACTCTCATGGTTCATGGTCATGCATATTTTTAAACGCAAAACTAATTATTTCTATACTTTCTATAAGTTTTTCGAATTAAGTTACTTCATAAACGAATGTTGTTTATTGAAATTATATTTTTACGTTAAAATACGACCTACGTATGCAATAAATTCTCGGTGCTAAAATTAGCGCAGGAACCATTCCAAGCACTAACATCAATAGCTACAATCGACATTTATTTAGTTATGTTTGAAATAGTGTTTGTTATATTTACGTAACAATCAATTATGAGTTTCTTTTATCTTGTCTGAGACTTCTGTTCTGTTTCTTAGATATTCTTTGGCACTATATTCTTGCATTTCATCAGCGTTTTTACCTCCCTTTTCGTTCTCGAAGTGTCAATATCTTTATAATCACATTTAGGTATTTTGTTTAAATTCCGCATGATGTCTGTTTTTATAATATAGACCTACGAGACTTCACTTTTCTTTGCACTTCCGGTATTTATTCTCTGTGTTACATTTCCAAAGTCTTTATAGAAACCTTAAACCTTTTAACTGTCTGCTGACAAATTTGCTTCTTTTAGTATTTATTAAATTTATTACACCTGGGCTTTTAATAATTTAAATAAATTGTTTCAATCTCTTAGTTGAAGACTAATCTCTTGTGAGTCTATCGGTTATGCAATTATTCGATTTTTAAATTTTATATCATAGTTCATTCCTTATCTAATTACTTACTTCCGATGGCCATTCAACCCTTTTAAGAGTTTTAGCCTCGCTGCATATGCCTCGCCACGCTTTATACAATAGTCGTTCCATTACAGATTTTCCAATCGTTCCATTACAAATATTTCCAATGCTGCAGATACATTAATCTTCTCTCTCATTTATTAGTTATCAATTTTTTTTCTCGTTTTTTCTTATGTTTTCCGTTTTATTCCAACTAAGACTCTTGCTCTATCTTTCTTATTTACCCCACTTCAACAGTGACTCATTCATCTGTTCGATACCATTTCCTTTCTAATTGTCTCGGTAACCATTATATCCATCTTCTCGAACTCCGCTGCCATTTCCCTGCATGTGCCGATTATAAATTATCGGGCTTTTATATCTTGTTTATAGTTAAGCTTTCGACTTAGATATCTTACACTTACAGAAGAAGTGACGCCACTTCTTAAGCGTATCTGATTGGACTCCATCCATCCATGTTCGTAACCAGCCATCCACTCTGAATCAAGCAGTATGTACATAAATCTCAGTATCACAGTTAAAGAAATGAATATGGCACTGTTAAATGTAATTATTTGAATCTGACCTAGAAATATGTTTCAATACTTTTGATTCAGTATTGATATATTTCTTGCCTTATATCATGGCCAACAAAATATTTGACAAATTAATATTTTTCCCATATATCTATAGAAATTTTCCCTACTAGTCATTGGGACGCGCACTGTCGTGGCTACGTTTCCCTCTTAGAATATCTGGTGTGAAGTACTGAAGAACCAGTCACTAAACATTTCAGATATCCTCGTCACACACACTGAGTCTAGTACTGTCTAGTACGTAGTAGGTACTATTATCATCATTATTCTGGCTTTACAACCCTGCTTGGGTCCCAGCCTCCTCAAGAATGTCTCTCCAGTGGTCCCTATCCATCGCCTTTCTCCAAGCACGTATTCTCATATTTGGCCACCTTCTTTATATAGTTCAGCTGGGAGATTATCTATTCCGGGTGATTTGTTTCTGGCTAGTTTTTTAACTGCATCTTTAACTTCAAGAAACGTTGGTGGTTCCTCTTCCCTCTCGTCTGTTCCCCTTACCACATCTCGTTTGTCTTCTAGTTTTCTCCTTCTTCCTCTATATTAAGAGCTTGGTGAAAGTATTTCAACCCATCTATTCAATACATCTTTCCTTGTTGTTAAAAGTTGCCATTCTGACTTCTGCATTGTCTTGTTGACTTGAATTCTTTTCTGTTAACTGTTTCGTTTCTGTTGATGTTAACTATCTTATAGAATACTCTGAATTCTTTCTTTCTGTTGAGGCTTTCTATATCTTTAAGTTTCTCATTTAGGTGCTTTCGATTTTTTGTGTATCTTCTTTTCTTTTCTCTGTCTGGTAATTCTCTACAGTCTAGCAGGTACTATTATTGGAGTAATTGTTTGCAAAAATCTAACTTTTTCTGCACTGTTGAAGAAGTTATGTATACGTACGTGAACAGATCGTTGAGTAGATCCAGTTTAACTTAAAATGACGACATTGAATCCATGGTTTGTTTAAGTATCATATTTTACGTTCAATAAATAACATTTCTTTATGTAGTTCAAAATGTCTTTATATTTTAAGTTTAATGATATGAAATCTATATCTTGTTTGGTTCAGTGGTTAATTATCCAAAAAGAATAATTTAAAATATATAACAGCTTATAATTTTTTACTTACGGTTTTTTATTTTACAGGTACTACATATGTATCGGCAAACCACACCTTGCTCACTCCATGACTACATCATCGGCTCGTGGCACTCGGACCAGCAACTACTCGACCACTGATACCGCAGTCAGCACCGATTACCGTCTTAGTGACATGAAGAACGGAAAAATTCCTGAAGAATCGGCCCTTAACAGATCATAAATACTTCACAATTTTTGTTGTTTGTGCCATACTTTTCGGAGCCATCTTTCACCAAAGATAATATTAGTTTTAAAATATTTTACTACGTAAACACAAACATCTTTTTGACGACTAATATGGTACTATAATTTTTCAAAATGATTTTCACAATTTTATGTGATGCCTTTATTCTTTTTATTAACAACCTCAGATCATTGATTAAAAACTACACTTATGTATAATAGTTTTATAATGAATGCTCAGATGTATAACAAATAAGGATAAATAATACTTAGGAAGTGTAATATGTACTAAATGTATGCTAACTAACTATAAAATATATATAAAAAATGATATACATATTATCACATGCAGATTACAAAATTAGTCAAAACAAAAATACACAACGCAGAAAAACGTGAATGTAAAATATAAGCCACGAGGATCAAACAATAAGTAAAAAAACAAGTACCTAAATTGATGTAGACATAGAGAGAAATTTTAGGGACGAAATTGGTATCTCTAAAAACTTGATAAAACAAAAGAGGATAAAAGAGAATGACAAAGATATAAAACCTCTCTCTGTAAGTGAGTTGGTGGATATGTTGCAAGTTGCTTTCGAATTTCGTAAATGAACATTCGAAGACGATGTGGTTGATTTTTTGTTCAGTAGCGCAATCAGCCCTTGTTAAGTTTTTCTTTAAAGCCTCTTCAATGTCTTCTGTTAGTGCGGGAACTTCACCGGTGCAAGATTTGCCGAGTTTGAATCCTCCTTGTTGTGGGATGAGGTGCTTGTCGACATTTTTTTCTATTCTGGAGAGTATGAGTCTCTCTTTGCAGCACGTGTTATAAAATTGCAAGACCTAGTTTTTTTGCTCGTTGGCCTAGATGCTTTATTTGTTCATTGCATATATCATCCACATCTACAGCTTTCCCGTTTTTTAACTTGTTCATACCGTCATGGAGTTATTTTAGTGTGAAAGAAGTTCCTAGGTGGTTTGTCTCCGAATCCAATCTTTTTCTAGTATTTGGGTCCCTATATCGGTTCGTAGTTCTTCCATTCATAAGGAGTTGAGCTACTTGGTTTGGTATAACCTTGCAAGTTGGTTTATGTTCTTTTGGATCACCGCTAAGTTTTTTTACAAGGTTCCAAATTATTTTGCTACGTCATGTCCATTTTTTCCAGGGTCTCAATTAACTTTTTCTTCTGGTTTGACTTAGCTGTTGGAGTAGTGTTCCGCAGTCAACCGTTTCTTGGCTAAAAGGGTCAGTGGAATAGAGGATTTCGTATGTTCTCATTGGTTCTTTGGACTCGCTGGACATTCCGGAAACATATTGTTGTCTACATCCTGTGGGGATAGCTTTTCTAGACACATTTTTTAGCACCTCTACTAATTTTTCGTAGTTTTCCGCTTTTAGTTCAAGACGTAGCAGCTCAGAATCTAGCATGTCTGCATACATTTTCGGAAAATTAGACAGATCAATTAAGAAGCTTGTTTTATTATGATTAAAAGGGTTTCAAAAAATTGGCGATAATGTCAAAAAAATCTGGACAATGTAATGGTATCTAGAGAACAGGGAATAAATAAAGAATTTTTTTGTAAAAATAGTTTATTATATACACTAATAATACTATACACTATACTAAGTATATAGGTAATTTACACCTTTGTCTGGCTTCATCATATGTAGGCCAGTGATAATTCGTGATTATTCAAATCTCTTCCTGATATATTCCTACCTACTCTTTTTAAGGCGGCGATCATCTTCTACATTATTAAAAACACGTTGAGATATGAAAATGAACTCACTCTTCTTTATTGAAATTAGGCATAGAACCTTTTAAAGTCATGTGGAGACACGCAGAGAGTAAAATAAGTTAATTAAAACTATAACATGCAATATATCAAAGTTCTGGGAATTTTGTGCATAATCCAAAAATTTTATAATATAACCAATGTTTCATTTAAAATAAGAAAGTTAGTATCATAGTAATTGATATATAACATCAGTCAATATAAATACATGTATATAAAATAACAAATTTTTATTGGAAAAAATGCGCAAAAAGTATTTTTTAAATACTTTTAAAACTGTTTTAAAAAACCTTTAATTTTGATTTGCTATTATTTACTATTAATTTTAGAGTTATTATTATAATTTAAACATTATTAAATTTATCAAACGGGTTAAATAGATGGCTAGAAATAATTATATTATTAATTTATAAAAAAAATGTTCGCAACCAACAATACACATAAACCTCATTGCCACATTCAGAAATGAATACAAATGAACTGCGCAAGTCTGCACAGAATAGTGGGTCAGGCTCTAGACACTAGTAAAAAAACATGGATCATTTTATAATTGAACTTTTATTCATGCAAAATCTAGTCAATCTTATAACTAACATAAAAATATTTAGGATATTAGGATAAGACCTACCAACGTTAAAAAATAATTTAATTTAAATATTGCAGGAACATAAATTTTCTACTTTTTACATTGCTGAATTGTTTAATTGCGTGCTCGTAATCAAACTGTACAACTGTTTTTCTTCGCATCACAAACAATAAATCAATAGTTAAGTACTAGGTAACATATTTATTATTTTATAATTAGGTATAGTCACAAAACAGCGTTTTGAAACAGTGGACCACAGTTTTAATTTCTTAAATAGAATGTGAATGTCACGGTGTACCGAGCGAGGCTGTTGTTCGACAAACGGGGAATACCCTATTTTGTTTTGGGTGGCGATGTGCAGCGGAAATTATTCGCTAGCAATAGGAACGCAATTTTATGGGAATACTTTTTTAGGCCAGCGGTGACTGGCCAATCGTCTCCATAAATCTCCATAGTGCGAGGCCTCTCTGACCGCGAGGTCGTGGGTTGTGGCCCTCGTCACTCACGCCCTACGCCGCCTCTGCTATTTGATGATACATTTTGATTCATTTTTTTTTGTCTTCAGCTTATTAATAGTTTATTTTAACTACCTGTTAGTAAATTAAGACCTAAAGAAGATATTTGTGTTTACAAAATTATATACCTAAGTATTTAAGAGCCTTTGTACTTAAAAAATTATTTAAATTTATGACAAGACATTAAACTAATTTTTGTATTAATATAGGTACAGTACAATTTCGTTTTTAAGTCATTTTTATTTATAACTGCATTTGCTTTTAGTAAAATTTAAATGTAGCAATGTGTACCTTCTTTAAATGTTTAAAAGTATAAGTATGCTATATAATGTATGTGCTTTGGAATTTTCAATCTTACCTCCCTTATACTTTCTTTTATACGATTTATATTTAAGCAAAAATAATAGATATGAACACGTAGTCATAGCTGTGTTTTATAAGAATACTTTATTACAGTATTATTTTTAAGGTAAAATGAAATGAAACAAATATAATATCCGCGTAAGTGTTTTAGAATTGTTAAATGCAGTACTTAATTTTTGTCTAGCGCACCCGCAGATATATGTAAAGCGAAGACTAATACACGGTCTGTAGTATGTAATGTTGTACGTAGGTAGTGAAAATAAAGTTATTTACATAGAAGTTTTTAATTTATGACCTATGCATGGATCTATTTGAAATAATGTATATTAAATATATATAAATGGATATACAATATATCGTAAAGACAGGGAAAATCGTGTGGGTGGCGGTGTATGCATTTATTTATCTAATATTATTACCACAACCTTCAAAATTAACATTAAGTTAATATAAATTACTGGAATAGATACAATCCACTTATCTGTTACTAAAAATTCTTTTTGCCTTAATTTAGTATGAATATATCGTCCACCTACTACACTACTTGCTCACGATAATGTTTTCTTCACAAAACTTGAAGAACTATCATCTCTTGATAATCTTATCATTATTGGAGATTTTAATTTCCCAGAGATAACCTGGCCAATAACTTCAATATCTGACGCTGAAAACGCTCGTAATTTATTTAAAAGCTTTGTAGTTAATTCAAACCTGATACAACTCATTACAGAACCTACTAGTTTTAGAAATAACAACCAACCTTCTACTTTAGATCTAGTGCTTTTTAATGACGAACAGCTGATTTCATCTCTCGAAGAAGTCATGTTCTCGTATAGGAAAGTCAGATCATGCAGTTAAAACGGCTCACATCCAATTCAATCAAATATTACCCCACAAAAATAATATTGTAACATATGCTACTACCGACTTTTCTGAAGTTAACATTGAACTCTCTAAAATCGACTGGCATTTATTTTTTGCAAACCTAAACGACCCCTCATTAATGTGGACTGCATTTCTCGATAAAGTCCACAATATAATTTCTACAAATAGCACTTTCCGTAAGAGTTATAAAAACAACCTTAAACCCCGGACAAATCGAACAACAATTAAACAAATTAATCACAAACGACATCTATGGCGAAAATTTAAACTCACCGGGCTTCTTAGTGATTTCCAAAGCCACCTCAGATTTTCAAATAACTTAAAAACATCTCTAAAAAACCTAAGACAAAATTTTGAAGCAAATGTTTGAAAGTGGTAACATTAAAAAGTCTACAACTACATACGTTCCTCCATGACGTCTAAAGTTTCCATTCCTCTACTTCAAAAATCCTACCAGATAGAGTCCTACCTTGCCACAGAGTCCTTCCATCTTCTCCTCAGGTTTAGTCTACCTCGCTTTCCCTAAACTTTAAACAGCTCTATCCTTCGTCCCATATAGTTCACATTTCTACCTCTGACGTGACCAAACCATAGCAGTATTTGTTCTTGAGTCTTTTTGAGACTATAGTTAACCGGCCCTTTCTTCAACCATGTTGTTCCTGATCTTGTCCCTTCTAGACTCACCTAACATCCACCAACGGCTTACCTCAAGGCTCAGTGCTAGCTCCTTTATTATTTAACCTTTATACAGCAAATATACCTGAAACAAAATCGAGAAAATTTGCTTATGCTGACGACCTGGCCATTGGCTTCTAAGATAATAGTAAAGAAGCAGGAGAACGAGCTCTAAACGAG